ATGCCAATTTTGATGACGAAATGCAATTGTTATTGCGGTTGCCAAAATGAATCTTTATTCACCATGGGAATACGATTTACTCATTTAAACCTATCTGGTATATTCTTTGTTCTCATTGATACAGTGGAAAATCATTGAAAAGAATTGTACCCTCAGGGTAAACATTTTAAATTGCCACTTCTTTATGTCATTCAAAGTAGCTGCCATATTAAGTATTTAATATTTGATTCCACTAAATACATATTTAACTGCCATGGTACCACAACTGGTATAGAAATATTATATAATAGTAATTATTATGCCTCACATGGCCTGGGCCCTTTGTAGAAATGCGATATGCACGATATTGTGGAACTGAAGAAAAAATGTTCCATAAAGCTATGCTACCGTTAATACCAGTAATATCACATAACCAGAGCCCAAACTAAAGTGGATTCATAAAAAAATGAAAACAAACTATAAGTGAACAGACGGAAAAGGCTGTAAGACTTATACTATGCTTTATCAGCATTACAGGACGGAAGTCGGAAGTGTACACATATATATATTGTTTACTGTTGTATCTTTTGTTCACTTTTGTTGTACCAAAAAAATTCCCAAATGTATGTTTGTTGCTATAGATGCTTTGTTAACTCATCCCAAGAACTTGCAAGGTCATCCAAACCATCTCCTTCCACTGCAAATCATTGTAAGATAAATAATGAAACAAAATGTAAATAAGGAAAATCTAAAAATTCTATCTCTCAACTGCAGAGGTCTCAATAATGCTTTTAAAAGAAAACAGGTATTCAGGTTCTTAAGGCTAAAAAAGGCTAACATATTCTGTCTTCAAGACGTTCATTTCACTACTGAGCAAGAACAGCTCATTAAACAGCAATGGGGCTATAGCGAATGTTATTTCAGCCACTTTCGAAGCAATGCAAGGGGAACAGCTATTCTTTTTAATAACAATTTTGAATTTAAGGTTACAGATCAACAAACTGATATGGATAATGGAAATTATATTCTACTGAGAGTAAAAATACATGATAGTGACTACACAATTATTAATGTATATGGACCTAATAAAGATTGCCCTGAGTTCATTACAAATATCAAAAATATGCTAAAACAACAAGAAAATGATAAATTTATAATATGTGGAGACTGGAACATGATACTAGACAGTGACTTAGACACCTATAACTACAAACACACGAATAACCCAAAAGCCAGACAAGAACTATTAAATGTTATAACTCTATTAGACTTGAAAGACCCTTGGAGAGAATCAAACCCGTATAAAAACGCTTCACTTGGAGACAACCAACCCCGCTTAAACAATCTAGGCTAGATTTTTTCCTTGTATCACATAATCTTTTACAGGCAGTTACACAAACCGATATATCCCCAAGCATTAATTCAGATCACTCAATAATCTCACTATCAATATCTTTAGGAGATACGATAAGAGGGAAAGGATTTTGGAAGTTCAATAACTCACTACTCCACGATGAAAAATATGTTGAAAAAGTAAAAACTACAATAAAGAATACCCTACAACAATATGAAGTTAAAACGGAAGCAAAAGCTAAAGAAACAAGATATACCATAAATGATCAACTATTATGGGAAATTCTACTGTTAGAAATTAGAGGTATGACTATATATTATTCATCTACAAAAAAGAAAATGACTTTGAACAGAGAAAAGGCTTTGGAAAATAAATTAAGAGAATTGGAAATCGACCTGGATACAGAACCAGCTGAAAAAAAGACAGAAATATTAAAAAAAGTAAATGAAGTTAAACAAGACTTAGAAGAAATTAGCAAACAAAAGATAAAAGGTTTATACATAAGATCTAAGGCAAAGTGGATCGAACAAGGGGAAAAACCATCAAAGTACTTCTTACAATTAGAAAGCAGATTTTTTTTAAATAAATCAATAATGGAATTGGAAAAAAAGGATGGTACAGTGATAAAAGATTATAAGGAAATACTAGAAGAGACTAGAACATTCTACAAAAAACTTTATTTAAGTGAAGACTGCACACAAATTAAATTAGGAGAATTGTTCATAGAAGATGAAATACCTAAACTGTCAGAAGAAGCTGCCTCATCTTTAGAGGGAGAAATAACATACAAAGAAACACTTGTCGCTTTAAAGAAAATGAAAAATGATAAAAGTCCGGGCCCGGATGGCTTCTCCAGTGAATTCCTCAAGTTTTTTGGAATGACTTAAATAAATTTCTAATTAACTCCTTGAAGTATGCATATGAAAATGGTTCTATGTCCGTATCACAAAAACAAGGTCTTATTACTTGTATCCCTAAGAGTGGTAAAAGTAAAAAAATGCTAAAAAACTGGAGACCAATATCACTACTAAATACCTCCTACAAATTAGCTTCTGCAGTTATAGCAAACAGAATAAAGACAATATTACCACTTATTATCAGTGAGGATCAAAAAGGTTTTATTCAAGGAAGATACATAGGAGAAGTCACAAGGCAGATATACGACGTAATGGACTATAGTGAATCATATCAAATTCCAGGATTATTACTGCTTATTGATTTTGAAAAAGCTTTTGACTCGGTTGACAGAAAATTTATGCAAAATGTAATGGACTTTTTCAACTTTGGACCATGCATTCAAAATTGGATACAAGTACTGCTAAACGATAGTGAATCAAGTGTATTAGTAAATGGGTTCGCGAGCGAGTTCTTCAAGATAACTAGGGGCTGCTGACGACAGGAGACCCAATATCCTACTACATTTTATCCTATGTGCTGAAATACTAGCTATTCTAATAAGAAAAAATAAGAAAATTAAAGGGATAAAGATAGGTAATATACAAAGCCTTTTAGCCCAATTTGCAGACGACACTACAGTGACCTTAGACGGATCTGAATCAAGTTTGTATGCAGTCTTGAACACATTAGCCTTCTTTGCAAGATTTTCAGGGTTAAAAGTTAACGCAGAAAAAAACAGGCTAATATGGATAGGGTCAAAAAAAAGATCTAGGTATAAGATGTGCAAGGAATGGAATCTGGATTGGACACAGTCAAATTTCAAACTTTTAGGAATAGTTTTTGATGTTGAATTAAATAACATTGTAGACCTAAATTATAATGATAAATTTGAAAAAATCTACCAAGAAATGAATATTTGGTCTCTGAGATATTTGACACCAATGGGCAAAAATGTTATCCTGAAATCCTTGCTTTTACCAAAGTTAAACCACTTATTTTCATCCATTCCTAGTCCATCCGAAGACACATTACAAAAGTTTCAAAAAAAAAGTGTTTTAATTTTGTTTGGCAAGGGAAAACAGATAAGGTAAAGCGAGAAATTATGCATCTTAAACCAAAGGATGGAGGAATAAGTGTACCCATTGTAAGAACTACTATAAATGCTCAAAAAATAATGTGGATTAAACGGTTGTTGCTCAACAGTTCAAAATGTACTTCTATTGCAAATGAAATCCTAGACAATGCAAATAAATTATGGTGATGCACAATATGTGTGCAATAATATTATTCCCAGTGTCTCAAATCAATTTTGGAGTGATGTGTTAATGGCATGGTGCCACTACCTAAAAAGGTGTTACACAAATGTGCAAGAAATATCAGATATTTTCAACCAGTCTCTATGGTTTAATAATAACATTAAAATAGAGGGAAAGTCAATCTACTATGAAAATATGGCAAAAAAGGGAATAATGTTAGTTTGTGATATTTTAGATCAGAATGGAAATTTCTTACATAAAGTTGACATAGAAAAAAATATGGAATTGCAAACATAAACTTCCTCCATCTAGAAGGTATAAAGAGTACTGTCTTAGCATATAGCAGACTCAGAAAAATACCTGATATAGCTTGGACCTGTCAGGTTAAATACCCAACATTACCCTTGATATATCTTGCATTTGCGGACAAAACCAAAGGAGTAAATCCTTTTATAATGTATTTTTACCTCAAGTCGAAACTAGACCAACAAGCCCAAAAAAGTGGGAAGACATCCTCAACAAACAATATAACAAGGAAGACTGGTCTAACATATATTTAATGGCAAATAGATGTACAGAAAGTGTACAGTTAAGATGGTTTCATTTCAAGATTACTCACAATATTTTAACGACTAAACATAAGTTACACTTGATGAATTACACAGACTCTTCAATGTGCTCATTCTGTGAATCTGCTCCTGAAACAATCATTCATTTATTGTGTGAATGCCGATATATCGTGAAAGTATGGAAGGAGGTATCCGACTGGCTGGATATACTGTCTGAAGGAAATATTGATTTGTCGCACGAAAATATTATCTTTGGTTTCAAAGGTAAAAACAACAACCCACTTAATCTGGTGTTTCTAATAGTGAAATACATGCTATATAAAACAAGCCGAAATAATATAAAGCCAGATTTTAGAGTGCTTCAAAGGGAAATACTCAACTACTATAAAGCTACCAAATATACAGCATTTTCTAATGCAAACCCAGCAAAATTTTATGCTTTCTGGTCTTCCTTCCATACACTTTTTGCTAATTAATACCAACCTAGATGTTATATAAGTATAATAAAATTTGACAAGTGCATCTGAATACAAGTACTGGTATACATATTAGCCTTGGGTAAGGATAACAGATACATTATAGTAAATCCACCCTGAACATACGATGATTGTTTTGTATTGATGTATTGATTGATTGTATTGATGGTGATGCTTGCACAATGTTTGATGACGAGGATGTGTTGTGTATGATGCTTTTGTACTACAACAACAACAAATGTACTTTGGGAAATAAAAATTTAAAATTTAAAAAATTTTTTTTTTTTTTTGTACATAGGTATATGAAAAAAATTATGCTTAAAAATTATGGGATTTGAATATGTATATGACATGCAGGGGGGTGTCACTTTGTGCATAAATTTTAGGGGTGTCATTCACATTGTACATGCTTCTTCACAAGAATCATCATCACCGCCCATAAATTATGAACGGTTGCTAATGTGACAGCATGGCTCTATTCAAGGTGCGACTCAGTAGTGAGGTGACATCCCTCGAACCCTAATAATAGTATACATGTTTATGTGGCAATAAAGGCTCCTGTGAGATTGACAGGAGATGTATTGAAGATACCTTAACACAGACAACCTTACAGTAATCCAGTCAAATAGCACAGGGCAGAGTAGCCTACTTCCGTAACCAAAAGTTTAGCATCTTGTATATACTAACACATGACATATTTCGGATTACACTTTCTCAGTAAAGTACAGATTCTAGTACTCCTATCAGGATTTCAACCCACACTCTCAGAGTCGGCACATAAAGTCAGCTGTCTAACCCACTCAGCCAATGCTAAGTCCACAGTTGTGTTGAATACATGTAGAGTTGTCTCCCTTTAGCGTCAGGACAAGATTAATCGCCTGGTGTTCAGCAACAACAACCTGGAGGAGGTCCGTGGTGCCATCGACAGTGTGCTGGACATCTTCGTCAAGATTCTGACTCAGCCCTTCCAACATGGCAACTACTTCGGTTACAAGGAGGTCTTGGACAAGTTGCTCAAAGTGGTCAGTAGTACTACCAACTGTGGTAGGACAGATCTGGATACCAGATAGGGTAGACTTTAACATGATAAATTTTATAGGTCAGTTGGAAAGAACTTTTGTCATCAGTAGTAAATGATTTGATTTAGCATGAAATGGATTTTCATAATGGTAAGATGTTTGTTTTGTTTGTTTATTTTTTAATGCCGTACTCAGCAATATTCGATCGAATACTGTAAATGATTACAACCCACGACAAGGTAGATAATGAATATGTTTACCCCCAGGACAAGGTAAATACTATATGTTTACCCCTAGGAGGACAAAGTAGGTAATGAATATGTTTACCCCCAGGACAAGGTAGATAATGAATAAGTTTACCACTAGGAGGACAAAGCAGGTAATGAATTTGTTTACCCCCAGGACAAGGTAGATACTGTATATTTACCCCCAGAACAAAGTAGGTAATGAATATGTTTACCCCAGGACAAGTAAATACTATGATATGTTTTAACAAGGGATAATGAACAAAGTATAAGGTAAAACTGCATGTTTACCCCCAGGACAAAGTAGGTAATGAATATGTTTACCCCCAGGACAAGGTAGATAATGAATAAGTTTACCCCTAGGAGGACAAAGTAGGTAATGAATTTGTTTACCCCCAGGACAAGGTAGATACTGTATGTTTACCCCCAGGACAAGGTAGATAATGTATGTTTACCCCCAGGACAAGGTAGATACTGTATGTTTACCCCCAGGAGGACAAAGTAGGATAATGAATTTGTTTACCCCCAGGACAAGGTAAATACTGCATGTTTACCCCCAGGACAAGGTAAATACTGCATGTTTACCCCCAGGACAAGAATGTGTGGCGGGACATCAGATCCAAGTACCTGTTGGATCAGTATCATGATTACAATGGCGGAGAGTTCACTGCGTCCGAGAATACTGACCCTGCCAAGCTACTCCTGGACATCCTCAGCATGCTGTCCAAGGCTGAACAGTCCATCTGCACCAAGTTAGAGGTACCCTGGGCCCCGTTTCACAAAGCTATCGTAGTGCTACGACTGTCTTACCTCCTATACTGTAACAGACTTACGAGCAGTCGTAGCGCTACGATAGCTTTGTGAAACGGGGCCCTGGACCCTATCATCAAGCTCAATAAATTTGTATTTTTTACGAAAATATACTAACTCTTTCGGATCTGATGAAATCGGTGATATTATTAAATTTTTTCTTATCCTGACTCATGATATTTTGCTTATCTCCCTTTTCTTTTCGAATGGTAGTGGAACACTTGAATTCCTTGAAGTTCCCGAAGCGGACGTAAAAATACACTCACCCATAACTTACCTCCCTTTTGCCCTTTCCCGCGCAAACAGTCATGTGACCAGCCTTACTTGTCACTCTCTCCCTTTTCGCCCAAGTGGATGGTTGGGTGAGCACTGGAGTTCCATATACGGCATTATATCCTTTTTATTTAGGTCCTATTCTTCAAAATTACGCTGTGTATGGATTTGGCAATAGCTACTTTGTATTATATGTAAAAAAAATATATAAATTATTTGTATTTGTGTCATAATTTCATCGTTATGTAACTTTGGAATCTTGGAGTGTTTGCAGGCACAGGTTATCCGTGGCTGATCCTCACCCCCAATGCCCTTCGTGCATAAAACCATGTTCTTAGAGCTTGCGCTGTACTTATTGTATTGATTGATCAAATGTACAATTTAATCAATATTTGTCTTATATCTATAGACGTGCCATGGATCAGGTGAGGAAGTCATCTCAAGTCACGGCTGATAAAACAGGAGATATCAGCCTGCAAACCGTATGTTGCTTGCTACTGCTGGAATTCATAATACTGGTGCTATGTTGAGTATGTTGCAAGAGCAGTCGGCTGGTACGGGAGCTAAGAAGAGATCGGCTACAACACAGTTGACTCTGACTCAAGCTAAGAAAAAGACGTTATCCTCTTCTACATTGCAGAAGAAAGCCTCTGTTACCAGATCGGAGGGTAAATCTACGCGGGCTAGTAAGTCAACGCATCAAAAATCCTTCAACGAAGAGATATTACCTCCACATGAAGTAGACGTTTTTGATGATCCCCCCATTAGGGCATGTTGGATACATTGCCAGTGATCATGATATGTCTCACCATGTTTATGCTGATGACACCCAGCTTCTGGAATCGTTTCACCCATCAGAGTTGAATGAGTCTCTTCAACGCATTGCTGACTGTACACTAGACATAAAGTCATGGATGACTACAAACAAGCTCAAGCTGAATGACACGAAAACCGAAGCACTCCTTGTGGGCACAAGACAACAACTAAGCAAGGTGGATGCTGTCACCCTCAAAGTTGCAGATGCGGATATCCGTCCATCAGATGTTGTGAGGAATCTTGGCGTTCACATTGATTCTTCTTTGGCGTTCAATGCCCATGTTAACCAAGTGAGCAAAACATGCTTCTTCCATCTCAGGTCGATCAGCAACATTCGCCAGTACTTGACTTCTGCAGCAACTCAAGCCCTTGTTCGAGCTCTAGTAACATCCAGGCTCGACTATTGTAACAGTGTTCTTTCTGGCATCAACTCCAATCTGATTGATAAACTGCAGAGGATTCAAAACACCTCTGCCCGCATTATCAGTAGAACTTCTAAACGTGTCCACATCACTCCTGTCCTTAAAGAACTCCACTGGCTTCCAGTCAAGGCAAGAATCGATTTCAAAATTCTCTCCCTGGCGTACAAATGTCTCCATGGCTTGGCCCCTTCCTACCTCTCTGACCTGCTTCACCCATATGTACCTGCCCGCAGTCTCCGTTCCAACTCTCAGAATCTTCTTGTGATACCCTCCTACAAACTGAAATCTTTAGGACACCGCAGCTTCTCCTACACAGCACCGGCCCTCTGGAATGTTCTTCCATATGACATCAAAGACTCTGACAGTTTTGATAGTTTTAAAGCAAAACTGAAAACCCACCTTTTCTCAGTATACTTCTCATAACTTCACCCATCTTCATCTTTGTAGCGCTTTGAGCATACCCAAGGGCGTGGAAAAGGCGCATTATAAATGTGCATTATTATTATTATTATTATTATTATTACTTCTACCCGAAGTAATTACGAGATCAGCAACTCAATCAACTTCTACAAGTACTAGATTGTCTCCTGCAACGGTCACAGCAGGACAGCTGTTTGACGAACTATCACCTACCTCTCAACTCAGTGAAGTCGAGGCACACAACTCATCAGCGTTCGCGAACGCTTCTTCTACACCGCAGCAGCTTCAACCAACGCAGAACTTTGACCTGGGTGAATTTATTAGACAATTCACCAACCAGATGATGACCATGATGGAACGCAGGTTCGAGGAAGAAGTGAAGGCTCGGCAAAGCCTCTCATCTACCGACACCGTGCGCAAACCTACAGACCTGCGCGAACCTACCGACCTGCGCGAACCTACTGCTCAGAGAACTTTGTCTCAAGACTACGTTGGCAAACGTACACCTTTGCGAAGGTCTCCACAGTAGGACAACTCTGTCATCTTGGAGGAGGATAGAAGACATGAGATGCCTACTCATCATTCTACATCTGCCAACCCTCAACTTTCTAGAACATCGAAGGATCCATCTCCTACACCAAGCCGCTCTAGATCGAGATCTCATATCTCTCACAGACGTTCGCAAAGTCACTCATCACGAGACAGAGGTTCGTGAAGAGAAAGCTCACATCACAGACGTTCGCAAAGGGATACATCTAGCGACAGACGTTCTGCGAAGAGAAAGCTCACATCACAGAGGTTCGCGAAGAGATGAATCTACAGATAGAGGTTCGTGAAGAGAGGACTCTCAAGACAGACGTTCGCGTAGGGAGGAATCTGCAGACAGAGGTTCGCGAAAGGATGATGAAGGTTCGAGAAGGGATACAGGTTCGCAGATGGATGATATCGCGGAGGCCTAGCTCTAATAATCAGGAGACACTGGATGAGCAAGCGGACTTCGTCTTCCCAGACGCAGAGGTTACAGCTTGGATTGCCAACGGGTTGAACTTGGAGTCTCCTTCTAAGGATAAAGATGAAGTCTACACTTACATGATGCGTAACGACGACTTTGACTCCGTCACTATCCCTCCCGATTGAACCTATATCCAGGGTACCCTCCAACCTTCGCACAGCTTTCGCGAAAGCATCCAAGTACCAGAGTCAGCATCTGCCATCATTTAATGTGAAGAGATTCCCCTTACATCATATGGATCCATTTACAAAGGCGCCTGAATGGGATGATAACATAAAGTTAGTCAACGACTCCCGGAACAAGATGTATAAAGTAGAAGATAAAAAGTTATCTCAACTTGATACTGCTACAAGGAGATCCTTCTTCGGGTTGGCCAGGTCCAGAGCTATCAATGAAGCATTGATCAATAAATTCCAGAACTCAAGTTCGGAAGAGGACAGAATGATATATTTGGCGCTCATAACTCAGAAGAAGGACCAATACTGTTTATCGGACCATCTGACATCTATATCTGCAGGTCTCACTTTACTACGCAGACAAGGGCTACTTGCATCCTGTTCATGGAGTGACAGATTCACCCAACTGCTACTGAGAGCTCCATGGGAGGCACCTACTATCTTTGGAGGACAAATAGAGGATGCAGCTAAGGAAGCTACGCACGACTCTAGAGAAGTTATGATGATAAAATCCATAGATACTCTGGCCAACGTCATCCTTCATACTTCACAAAAGTATAACAGCAAGTCCAAATATTCCAGCTTCAGAGGCGGCAAAGGATCTTTTCGTCGCCCATCCGGAAATTACAGAGGAAACACAGGGAGAGGCCACACTCCCAGAGGATCCAGAGGAACTAGACGTTGATATCAGGGTTCAGAACGACTGGAGTCTTCCACCCCCAGCCGTTCCTGTAAAACCATCGACAGTGGATGGACGTCTACAAAGGTACTGGAAAAATTGGGGAATACTAGAGGATGACTACGTCTCCCAAGTACTACGAGAAGGATACAGAGTACAACTCAAGGCCACACATCCGCTAACCCTCAGCCCGATGGTCTTCAAATATGCAGAGGAGCAGGCAGACAAACTACAAGAAGCCATCAACTCACTACTTATGAAGGAGGCGGTAGAGATAATAGATCAGCATCATCTCACTCCAGGCTTCTATTCCCCAATTTTTCTAGTATCCAAGAAGAACTCCAAGGAGAAGTTCAGACTGATTTACAACATGCGCAAATTCAACAAAGACTATCTACTGAAACCAGACAGGTTCAGAATGATCCACCTACCTCAACTCAGACTACTCGTCCGTCCAGCAGATTACATGGCCAGCATAGACCTGCAGGATGCGTATCTACACATCCCCATACATCCGGAATCAAGAAAGTATCTACGATTCCTATTCAGAGGGCAGCACTTCCAATGGAACGTCCTACTGTTTGGAATATCTTCGGCTCCGTGGCTATTCACACGAGTAACCAAGCCTATAGTCACATATCTACATCATCGAGGTCTAACGCAATGCCTTCTACTTGGACGACGGAATTCAGGTTCACCAAGATGCCAGTCATCTCAGACTACAGCTGAACTTCATGATCAAGTTGCTCACTCAACTAGGATGGCTGGTGAACCTAATGAAGTCAGAGTTGGAACCAAAACAAGATCTGCAATTCCTGGGGATAAGGTTTGTCACAACACAGAATCGTATTGTCGTCCCAGAAGATCGTTGGGTCAAGATACAAGCCATGATTCCACTAGCAGTCATCTCTCCGTTAACACTACGATCATGGCAAGTTCTACTCGGTCTACTAACCTCGGCGCAGGACTAGACTCACACAGTTACACTGCAACGGTTCCTGACAAAACACCTGACAACCTCAAGAGGTATCTACTGTGTGAGGTGTCCACACGCAGGTCGAACATTTGCAGAGGGACCTATTTACAAGAGCCAGCCTTCAACACACATCTCTACGCAGACGCTTCGATACAAGGCTGCGGTGCACATCTCATCTCAGGAAGGTGGTCCAAAATAGAGCAGCATCTTCACATCAATCTGCTGAAGATGAAAGCCGTGATCAACGCCTTACAACTATGGTCGAGCTCGCTGGACAACAAAATGCTGATGGTCCACACGGACAACTCTACAGTGGCATTCTCCATAAATCGGCAAGGATCCACAGCTCACATTCCAGTTGTTCCACATCACGGAGGAAGCAAACATCTGGATAAAGGCGTGTCACATACCCGGAGCCAAGAACGTACTTGCAGACGCTCTCTCCCGACCACTGCACCCGTCACCTACGGAATGGATGCTCCATCCAGAAGCGTTCCAGCTCATCATAAGGGAAATAGGATCCCCTGGCATAGACCTGTTTGCCACGAGGCTCAACAAACAACTACAGACGTTTGTCTCACCAGTTCCAGATCCTCAAGCCTGGGCAACGAATGCACTGAGCATATCTTGGGAAGGACTAAACGCTCACGCGTTTCCACCCCCGATATTACTATCAGAAGTACTGTTGAAGATCAAACATACAGAGGCGCTTCAACTGACTTTGGTCGCACCAGACTGGCCAGCAAGAGTATGGTTCCTAGACCTAATAGAAGATCTTGGAAGTCCAACAATCAAGTTACCTGATTGGCCGAACCTACTCATACATCCGCACACCAAGCAAGTCCACGGGAACCTGGCGTCAACACTAGCTCTGCTTGGAAATTGCTCTATATCTGCAATTATGGAGGGCTGCTTTTGGAAGTCGGACACGGTGTTTGCCAACCACTACCTCCGAGACATAGCCACTGAAGACGTCTCAGGCATTCACCAATTTGGGCCTCTCGTTGTAGCACAGCAACTAACGGTTCCTCAAAGGCGCTGAGTTGGAAAATCTCACCCTTTATCACGTTGACTTGTTGATAACTTTTACTAAAGAAAAGTATTAGTTTGAAAGTCTATGCGCACAGTCTAGGACAGGCTAGCATGAGTGATTAAAGATCCTGTACGGGTAAAGATCTTACCTGTACGTGAAGGGGTCGCAACTCATTTATGATAAAGATCTTATCATAATCTATGGGTTATTATAAGATATCTAGTAAACAGAAGATACTAGTTTATCTGTAGCCACATGAATCAACATGATTCAACTTGTCTAAGACTGAAGTAAGACAAGAAAGTGGTCCCCCCGAGTTATCACGGAAGTTGGAAGAATAGGATCACGGAAATGCTGTTTCGCAGTTCCCATGGGGGGGATACAGGGCGTATCTAAGGACAGCTGATGAATCCACGAAGTGGCTTGACCCACCACCAGTCTGTCGGATTCTATAAGCAAAAGATCATGAGTCAGGATAAGAAAAAATATGTAATTTTTCAAGTAAAATTGATATTTTTATACTTATCTTGACTCATGACGAGAAGCCCTCCCAACCTCCCCGCTGAAACACTTCGGATTTCACAGCAGATCCAAGTGAATGGGCCGAAAATCAGGAGACTGTGACAAGAAAGGCTGGTCACATGACTGTTTACGCGGGAAAGGGCAAAAGGGAGGTAACTTGTGGGTGAGTGTATTTTTATGTCCGCTTCGGGAACTTCAAGGGATTCAAGTGTTCCACTACCATTCGAAAAGAAAATGGAGATAAGCAAAAGATCATGAGTCAGGTATAAGTATAAAAATATCAATTTTACTTGAAAAATTACATTATTGCCACACAGGCTGTAACCATTTTTTTATCAGACTTTCTAGGAACCATTGTCCTTTAGTGTGTGGTGAAAACTTATCGTTGTATGGATACACAAACACAAATGTTATGCTTGTTTAACCAATCAGATGCCACTTTTAATATTATTACTTTTGATTTTTTCAGGATTATGAAGACACTTTCAGGAAAATGAAGGATGAGAAACGCACCCTTGAAAGTGAGTGGAGTCTTGGGTTCATAACTTGAGTGATGCTTCGTAATATGTCAGCTGTATGAAACGGTTTGTAAATATGAGAGTGACTCAGAGATGCCAACCATTCCGATTTTGGAGGAGTAACTCCGATTTTCAAATACAAATATCCACTCTCAAATTTGTCTATAAAAAACTCAGATTTTTTAGAAAGTACAAATTTGTTTATAAATTTAGAATGTTTGAAAGAATTTTAGTAAATATGTTCATTTGAGTTAAGAATTATCTGGTTAAGTATGCCCAGAAATTGCATATTTCCAGGCTAAATCTAAAGATTTTCATATTGGAGGCCCCCCAGACCCCCACTGTCAAAAGGGGCCCAAACCCCCTCTCACGCTAACCCCCAACTCGCACCTTCAGGGCTTGGGAATTGCTTGTAGCAAGGCTTGACTTCGCTTTCATTGATTGATTTCATTGACTCAGGGTTGGCATAGCAGGAGTGTTAAAGAGTGAGTGGGACAGGTTTTACACCGCTTTTAGCAATATTCCAGCAATATCACTGCTTTACACATAGTACCCATGTTGGGAATCGAACTTGGGCCTTGAGCTTGACAGGCGAACGCTTCAGCCACTAGGCTATGCCACAGCCTTGAGAGTGTTAAAGCATAAATGAAAAAAAGCAATAAAGTCACAATCGTTGACATAATTGTAAACTGTAATGCCAAAGGTATGACATAACAGTCATAAATGGGAAAAGAGTCAAATTTCAGATTTTCTGTCATCCTTGAAATATAATAAACACAATTTCCTTCATGGTTCCTTCTCCTTGCACACTTTGAATGATGTAGTAACTTCCGCTCTGCTCTTTGTAACATGTAACTGAAACCTCTGGTAATTCTTTCAGAATGTAGTATGGAGTGTTGTCCAAGTTCATGGTAGAATGATTTGTTTAACCCCAAGTGTACTTAGTATCGTAGGCACTTTGGAACAGTGTTTATCAGGGATATTTATGATATTCCTTGAGTTATGTAAATTGGATATCTTTCTAAGTAATGGCCATGCTGTCAATAGAAATGAAATCAACACAGCTTGATCATTGTCATCATGGCCACCATCATAGAGTCATTAGCTGCCTATGATCAAAGTTAGACAAAGGCCGGTTGGCCACTGAAGCATGACATTGTGGATGAGGTGCAGGGTACTGCAGGCTGACCACACATCTGTCACAAATACGACACGTGGCAGTCTGATCAGGTTTCGACCCTTAGGGATAAATTGAGAATGCTTTGTGTTGGTCGGGACTTGACCCTGAGACAGCAACTAGGCAGGTTGGCTGACCATCGCCTCCGACATGCCGCCTAGTCATTGTTGTAACTTCATGTATGTATACATATTGAATCCAGAATAAAGTGTTGTGGACCCACTGATGGACTCCTGTATTTGAAGACACAGAGATCCCTTTAAACAACCCGGGATATTAGATACAAATTTTCTGCAGCTGAATGAGAGTTTGACCAGTATGTGAAGTCCATTCAGATCCCAGTATAGGCACAGTGTGAAAAGTCCAATCATTGATAACAAACTGACTTTCACTCAAAATACCAATGCAGTCTACAACAAATGTCAGTCTCGCCTCCACTTCCTGAGAAAGCTACGCTCATTCCACCTTGATTCCACATTTATGTCTCTGTTTTACAAATCATGTATCAATCCATTTTAACATTTTCTATGCAGTGCTGGTATGGACCTCTGTCGCTTCAAAATAAGAATAAATTAATGAAGATTGTTAAAGTTGCAGGACAAATTGCATGTTGTCATTCTGGTAGTTTAGACACCCTGTACATGTCATCAGTTTTAAATCTTTCTGTCAGAATCTTACAAGACCCAACACATGTTTTAAACCCTTGTTATACACTTTTACCATCTGGCCGTAGGTATCTTTTACCAAATGTAAAGTCAAAGAGAAGTAAACACTCTTTTATACCAGTTAGCATATCCTTCTTAAACAAGTCTTAAACATTATTCTCTTAGTATATTTATTGGTAGATGTTTGTCTTATAAATACTGTTGTTTACTATACATTCAATGTCATTGTTGCTGCTCATGTCTTACATGTTGTTTTCTCATGTTCTTAACCCTGATGTACACATAATTCCCCTTTTGTGCAATAAAGCATTATCTTATCTGTGGAGCACAGTGGTTAGCATGCTGGCCTCTCACGCCAAAGGCCTCAGTTCGAATCCCGGTGGAGACGCCAAACTTTGTGACCTGGGTCTCATACTGTGTTGTGTCCCTGGGCAAGGCACTTGGTCCACATTGCACTCAGTCCACCCAGCTGTTCAAATAGGTACCTGAGAAGCGGATGCACGGACCTATAGGGTCGCATGAAGCGCTTAGTAGCAGCTTTGAAAGTACAATTCCGTCAGGGTAATAATGTAACGCCGGAGAGCAGCATCGTGCTGGATTCTAGGCGCAAAAATTAGCATTATTATTATTATTATTATCATCATCTTATTATTATCTTATTAAGTTCCCAGTATGAGTAGAGTATCTGAAGCCTATTCTTGGTGTCTTGCATAGTGAGTGATTTTAGCTCAAATATATCTTTAAATCATATTGACAATAGTAATGAATCATGACTGTGGTGCAGGTCAGCTGTCTGTGTCGGAGGGGAAGTATATGGACGAGGTGCAGAGTCACAGCATCGAGCACATTGAACTGAAGACAACACTGGGCAAGCTGGCATACATGGAGAATCTCATCTCAGAGAAGAATGACAAGATAGCAGAGTTGGTTAAACTTAACTGATCCACTTAACTTGGATTTGTGTTAAAGACAAGTTTTTCACTTACATTTTTATAAAAGACATCTTTTAAAAGATAATCCTTGACATACATCATGTTTAGGAGAAAAATTGATTTTTCTAAAATAAAACTCTAAAATAAACCTTCAGCTAGTTTACTTCAGTGACTCCAAGTAATAATCATGCTCAACTGTTTGGATTGAATGTGTCACCATTTCAGATTAAATGTGTCACCTGTTCAGAATGAATGCTTGTCACCTGTTCAGATTGAATGTGTCACCTGTTCAGATTGTTGGTCACCTGTTCAGATTGAATGTACAGATTCTTCACCTGTCACAGATTGGTCACCTGTTCAGATTGAATGTTTCACCTGTACAGATTGTTGGACACCTGTTCAGATTGAATGTATCACCTGTACAGATTGAATGTATCACCTGTACAGGTGACACCTGTTCAGATTGAATGTTTCACCTGTACAGACTGCTTGGTAAGACGTTATAAATATTCATACTGTGTCACCTGTTGAAATCATACGAGAGGTATGTGTTCACATCTCCATATCAAATATCATACATGTTCACTAAGGTTATAAATATTCATACTGGATGTTCACCTGTTCAGATTGACTGTTTACCTGTCAAAATTGGACATTTACCTGTTCACACAAAATGCTTACCTGTTTCAGGTTGCAGCGCTACAACACTATTGAGCTCTGGGAGAGAGAGAAAAAGAAAGTCCTTCAAGAAAGCAATGCCAAGTGAGTATAATGACAGAAGAATGAACACAAACATATCTCATACAGATGGCCCTTCAATATCATAATGTGTGAGCCCATTTCTGGTGTCCCTCACCATGATATTGCTGGAATATTGCTAGAAGCGGCGTAAAAGTAAACTCACTCACTCACGCACTTAAATGTCATAACACCTGCAGGGCCGGTGGGATAGCTTAGTGGTTAAAGCGTTCGCTCATGACGCTGAAGAACCGGGTTCGATTCCCCACATGGGTACAATGTGTGAAGCTGATTTCTGGTGCCCCTCACCAGAATATTGCTGGAATATTGCTAAAAGTGGCGTAAAACTAAACTCACTCACTCACCATAACACTTGTGGGGGCCAATGTCCTATAGCAGATATATTGGTAAGTGCGGTGTTAAACATCAAACAGATTTTCAAGTCATGTACCTCTCTGTATGAAGGCAAAGAGACGTTTTAAATCAGGGAATTGTTAAGGCCTAAATATATTAACTGCTACGTTTTTATCCAAATTTTACCAATTTTGATTCAGCAGGCATTATGTATTCCATATTTTTCTTTGAATTTAAAAAAAAAAAATTATTGTATTTTTATTTTATTTATTTTACAGTCAACTATATTTACAACAAATATGCTTATAATTAACTGACTGATGTAACATATTGTTTTTTTCGGGGCAAGCCACTTGCTATATATTTTAGTCCAAATGCATATAACAGGCAACATCTATAACGAACTGACATAAGCAGTCTCTTTGAGTTCATTATGACTGTAGTTTGCAGTTTAGTTTGCAGTTTGCAGAGAAAATGACAAGTCTTCCTATATGAGAGCGCTTCAGTCACATATAGAAAGACTGGTAATTTTTCTCTCTGTTGCGTAACCCTATTTGCGCTACAGTTTGCCCGTGATCCGTCTTAGAATTGGTCTTCAGTAACCCATGCTTGTTGTAAAAGGCGATTCACGGGACCGGGTGGTCAGGCTCGCTGACTTGAGGGACACATGTCATCATATCCCAATTGTGAAGGTCAATGCTCATGATATTAATCACTGGATTGTCTGGTCTAGACTCGATTATTGACAGACTGCTGCCATATAGCTGGAATATTGCTGGGTGCGGCGTTCAACAACAAAGAAAGAAAGAAAGAACTATTTTATCAAGGAATTGGAAAACATGAACTGTCAACAGATATAATTGACATGTATGGTAGATCATGTACTAAGATCATAGGAAGCATGGGAGCATAGAGAATGATTTTCTAGCCTCTGACACTAAAATGCTGCAAGAAAGGGTGAGGTGGTAGTGGTTGAAACTCGGATACTTAAATAAGAATGCATATTTGAGACTTGGAAGTCTTGATTACTGGAATATTTAGGTTCCGCTGAAGCACACCTCTCCTTTGTGTCTGTAAGATTGGTTAATTTGTTGATTAACAACCCACTCACCAATATTCCAGATATGTGGCTAAATTGAATCTGGACCAGACAATGCTGTGATCAACATCATGAACATCAATCTACGCAATTGGGATACGATGACATGTGTCAACCGAGTCAGTGAGCTGTGTCTGTAAGAATGTGAGATTGTTTCAGCAGATAAACTGCCTTCCATTCCAGGCTCTTGGAGGCTTATGAAGAGTTGGAGGAACTGAAGAGAGTGAACAGTTCACAGACCAAGAAGCTGCAGGTGATCACTCAGCTGAAAATGTGGCACTTTATTGGGATGACTTTGTTATGTCTAATAGCTTGTGGTAAAGCGTCCACCCGGAGAGTGGAAGGTCGCGGGTTCGATCCCTGGCCTTGTCATACCAAAAGCACACACGTGCATGTTGTCATGTGTTTAGGAGGTGGATGGCTATTTGACACTATTTTATAAAATATTTTCATAAGTGAAACCAGTTCAGGTGTTTAGAAGGTGGATGGCTTTTGACACAAAAATGGTTTGGGACATCATGAGACGTATCTTCATGCACGTATCTTCATGCAATAACCATTTTTTGTTTGAGTTTAAGCCACCTTTAAACATTGGTGTATACATTCTTTTGCCTAAGCGTACTTTTTTGAGATGTGTGATTTGATGCTACCTGAGATTCCGACTTTCAGGCACTTGAAGAACAAAATCGTATGATGAAGCTGAAACAGGAACTAAAAACACCATCTGGTGTCGCTGCAAGTAGGTTTTTGTCTCAAATTACTTTCTTGATTGATCAAAGGAATTTCTTTTCAATTTTATCCATGTCAGTTTAATTTGATTTTCATAAAGTATTCACAAATTATATATCAATGTACTATTGCAGCAATTTCTGGTAATGATCGTTTTACTGTTGTCAAGCAAGACTGAATAGTTTGAGTATGGTTAAGATTTGTATATGATAGGTGAAGGATTAACAGTGGCAGCTCGCATACATGATAGGCTGGTTGACTAATAACAGAAGAATGATCTTGTAACCAAATAATGGTCCATATATACTAGCCTCATAAAGAAACTGTGCATTGTCAAAATATTATCCCAGTTGATAAGTATGATAACAATGTCAAAGGGACATATAAACTTTAATGGAGGGATCATGAGACCATAACAAGTCGGGAGAATTTCAATTGAAAAGTCAATCACAATGACGTCACGAGTCCACAAGCGGGACAGGGGTCAAACGATCATGTGACAAGCTCAATAACGGGTATGTCCACCATCGGCATTGAGAACAGCAGTGCATCGACGAACGATAGAGCCTATCAAACATGCAAGGAAAGCTTGTGGGATGTCACGCCAGATTCTCTCAAGTTCTGTTGCAAGGTCAAGGACGTTAAACCTGGACTCATCTGTAAAAACAACATTTCTCCACCAAAACAAGGGTCTGCGGACATGATTTCGGCATCACATTCGGCGAGCTTGTCGATGACGTTGTGTCAGGATAGGCCGTATGGCGGGACGTCGTGGTCTGATCCCGTGATGACGTAATACGTTGTCGAACTGTGTTGGGGTGGATACGGCGAAGTTCTGGGATGGTTCGGGCAGTCATCACTGCAGTCTGAAACCTGTGGCGAAGATGGGTCACCCTTATCCATCTGTCCTGTCTTGGCGTTGTTACACGTGGACGTCCAGAACGTGGCCGATCGATGACGTCATTTGTGTTCTGGTAGCGTCTCACCAGTGCAGAAATGGTGTTCCGGTGGCAGTGGAAATGTGCAGCCACTTGTCGTTGAGACATTCCCCCACGGACCATCCAAATGGCCTCATGACGTTGTGCAGACGTGAGCCTTGGCATGCTATGCGTTTCAATAGCCGTTTAATTTTTTGAACAATCGCAAGGGCAGGGGTTGAGCTTTCCAAAGTGACAGTATTGTGTGGCATTCATTTGCTCTGTTTCTCTTTCCCGGAATGCATGTGCAACAACTTATTGCACGTCTCAAGGACGAACCCACTGACGTCACGGAACGTAGTACATGCATGCATGTTGGATACATGTCACTAATCTCTGAGTTTAAATCCTTATGTGTCTACACAGGTTTGATAAATTTAGATTTTAAATTTTTGTATGCACAGTTTCTTTATGTGCCTAGTATATATACTGAACATTTAAAAGTTAGGGATCATAAAAATGTTGGGGGTATTTTTTGTAGGGAAGATTGAGCACACAACTATTTAAAATATCCCCCAATATACTCATGATGCCTAACTTAATTTGTTTGGTATACGTTGTCATCTTGACATCTTTTTAGAAATATGTATCAAATAACACATTTGATGATTTCAGGTGTATCTGTGGCCTACTGTAACCCTGAATAATGTGTATCAAATTCCATTTTCTTCATATTCAAAGAACGAAAATATGTTTTAAACTAGTCGTGTGTTATCATGTTCTCTCTAAGGTCAGGCTCTAGATGATGTCAAGAGGAAGAACTACATGCTGGAGAAAGTGAGTATTTCAGCCCAAACTTAGTACCTGCGTCACAGTTTACGACAATTTGTAACCCCACTGTTGGGACATTCTGTAACTCCACTATTGGGACATTCCGTAACCTCACTATTGGGACATTCCGTAACTCCACTATTGGGACATTCCGTAACCCCACTATTGGGACATTCTGTAACCCCACTATTGGGACATTCCGTAACCCCACTATTGGGACATTCCGTAACCCCACTATTGGGACATTCTGTAACCCCACTATTGGGACATTCCCTAACCCCACTATTGGGACATTCCGTAACCCCACTATTGGGACATTCCGTAACCCCACTATTGGGACATTCCGTAACCCCACTATTGGGACATTCCGTAACCCCACTATTGGGACATTCTGTAACCCCACTATTGGGACATTCCGTGTAACCCCACTATTGGGACTCTCTGTAACCCCACTATTGGGACATTCTGTAACCCCACTATTGAGACATTCTCAAGTAACCCCACTATTGGGACATTCCTATTGTAACCCCACTATTGGGACATTCTGTAACCCCACTATTGGGACATTCCGTAACCCCACTATTGGGACATTCCTGTAATCCCACTATTGGGACATTTCTTGTAACCCCACTATTGGGACATTCTGTAACCCCACTATTGGGACATTCCTGTAACCCCACTATTGGGACATTCCAGTAATCCCCACTATTGGGACATTCGTAACCCCACTATTGGGACATTCCTGTAACCCCACTATTGGGACATTCATGTAACCCTATTGGGACACATCCGTAACCCCACTATTGGGACATTCCGTAACCCCACTATTGGGACATTCCTGTAACCCCACTATTGGGACATTCTGTAACCCCACTATTGGGACATTCAGTAACCCCACTATTGGGACATTCCGTAACCCCACTATTGGGACATTGTAACCCCACTATTGGGACATTCTGTAACCCCACTATTGGGACATTCCGTAACCCCACTATTGGGACATTCCCAGTAACCCCACTATTGGGACATTCCGTAACCCCACTATTGGGACATTCCGTAACCCCACTATTGGGACATTCCTAACCCACTAACCCCACTATTGGGACATTCAGACATTAACCCCACTATTGGGACATTCGTAACCCCACCTGTAACCCCACTATTGGGACATTCTGTAACCCCACTATTGGGACATTCCGTAACCCCACTATTGGGACATTCCGTAACCCCACTATTGGGACATTCTGTAACCCCACTATTGGGACATTCCGTAACCCCACTATTGGGACATTCCGTAACCCCACTATTGGGACATTCCGTAACCCCACTATTGGGACATTCTGTAACCCCACTATTGGGACATTCCGTAACCCCACTATTGGGACATTCTGTAACCCCACTATTGGGACATTCCGTAACCCCACTATTGGGACATTCTGTAACCCCACTATTGGGACATTCAGTACCCCACTATTGGGACTTCTGTAACCCCACTATTGGGACATTCTGTAACCCCACTATTGGGACATTCCTGTAACCCCACTATTGGGACATTCCGTAACCCCACTATTGGGACATTCCGTAACCCCACTATTGGGACATTGGGACTAACCCCACCTATTGGGACATTCCCCCACTATTAGATTGGGACATTCCCAGAACCCCACTATTGGGACATTCAGACTAACCCCACTATTGGGACATTCCAGAACCCCACTATTGGACATTCAGTAACCACATTGAACATAACCCCACTATTGGGACATTCTGTAACCCCCACTATTGGGACATTCCTCGTAACCCCACTATTGGGACATTCCGTAACCCCACTATTGGGACATTCCGTAACCCCACTATTGGGACATTCCGTAACCCCACTATTGGGACATTCTGTAACCCCACTATTGAGAGATTCCGTAACCCCACTATTGGGACATTCCGTAACCCCACTATTGGGACATTCCATAACCCCACTATTGGGACATTCTGTAACATGATGGGATGTTAAGTATGATGTTCTGCCTACAGGATGTGATGTTCCTAGAGGAACAGCTGAACAACCTACAAAAGACCTACATAGGGGTGCTCGGAGGAATCAGGACAGACCTACAGTAGGTTGCAATCCCAATTCACCCTCAGACTTCTTTGTTTGTTGCACTGGGTTGCAGAATATTAATGCTAATTCCAATCTTCACAAGCCAACCCTGAAGTTATAAAGAAGTTATTTGGCCACACAGAAGAGGTTCGATTCCCCACATGGGTCACAGCATTCACGCCATGATCATTGCTGGAAGAAGACCCGGTTTGAACTCCCCACATGGGTACTGACACTGTGAAGTACATTTCTGGTGTCCTAATATGCAAACTTTATGGCCATGATAGCCTGTGGAATATTGCTAAAAGCGGTGTAAAACTAAACTCACTCACTCACTATATAGAACTTTTTACTGAGGGAACAGAAACTCTGATTTGTTGTTTCAGCATCGTTGGGGAGAAATATCGAGACCCAGAGACTAACGAGCTGAGCGATGAGGATATCAGCAGAATGGATGCTAGGATCACATTTATATACAGCAAAGTCAGGAACGCTGAGCTTGAGAAGTGTAAAGACGAACTACTGCCTCACTATCTGTATGTGCCTCAGGTAGGAACTCCTGGCGATAGATTTCAAACTACTGCTTCAATACTTTTATGCCTCTGGTGGGACTGGTATTGATAAAAATGAAACATTTCTCTTTTTTTAAATATAATTGTTTTTAGATGTGAGCACTATTTAGGGACAGGTCATTTATTTCATAAAAAATGACAGTCCTATTTAAAAATAGAAAGTTTTTTTTATGCAAACACTATTTAGAGACAGGTCATTTATTTCTTAAAAATTAAGGTAGTTCTATTTTTCAGAATAAAATGGTTATAGATGCAAACACTATTTAGAGACTGGTCATATATTGCATAAAAAATGACACAGTTCTATTTTTTAAAATAGAAGGGTTCACGATGCAGACACTATTTAGAGACTGGTAATTTATTTCTTAAAAATTAAGGTAGTTCTATTTTTCAGAATAAAATGGTTATAGATGCAAGCACTATTTAGAGACTGGTCATATATTTCATAAAAAAAGACACAGTTCTATTTTTTAAAATATAACAGTTTTTAGATATGAACACTATTTCGTGACTGAGGCCATTTGCACAAAGTGATCATAGCGCTACTCAATGACTTTAACATAGACTTAAGATAGTCTTAGTGCTAAGATGTATTTTTGTGCAAGTGTCCCCCAGTCATTTATTTTAGGTGAGGGGCGGAGGGGTAGCCTAGTGGTTAAATCATTTGCTCGTCATGCCGAAGACCCGGGTTCGATCCCCCATATGGGTACAATGTGTGAAGCCCATTCTGGTGTCAGCCATGGTATTGCTGGAATATTGCTAAAAGTGGCATGAAACTAAACTCATTCACTCTCGGTGTTTGCCAAACTGGTTTCAATCACAAGTTGTGAGTAGGATATTCATAAAGAGCGCTCCAAGGGACATAACTCTATGGGGTTTGCTTGAAATAATGTTCAGCCAGTAGAGGGCGCAAGAGTCAATTTAAGGCAGCATTGCACTAATTCATTCGAACTTTTTAATTTAATATTGAATTTAAATACGTAATTTTTTTGAATAAATTATATGGTATCTTCCTTGAGGGCTGATAGTTAGTATTATGGAGAGAAATGTATTATTTATGTGAAATAGTGCCTGTAAAAAGTAATTTTCAAAGTTAAGTATCTGATTTTAATGAAATTTGAAACATGTGTAGCTCTGTGGAAAAGTTTGACTCACGTTTCACTCATGTCTTCAGGAAGTAAAGTTGAAGAAGATCAGGAGGATATCCCTACATGCCGCAATGTGAGTGGAAACATTTCAAGTCTTATTTTTTCGTAGTTGCACCAGCCAAATTCCAGTGTATGAAGGCTGCTGGGATACAAGGAAACTGCATACATACATATTACTATGTTACATGAAGTTATACATAACTTCTATCAAGTTATTTTGGTGTTTTCAAATATGGTTTCATTTCATAAAGATTAAGATGTTTATACATTTACTCAATTCTCTTTTGCTTGTAGACAGAAGCATTAAAAAAATATAATCTTTGAATGGCATTTAAACACCACCACCCACCTACATACAGGTTCACTGCTGAGAACTTCTGCAGCATGGGACAGTGTCTCACCTAAAGGGTTAAAGTGATTGTTAGTCGTGCCAAAAACCTGGTCAATTACATGTTGATAGAACTTAGAGGTAAAATATTTTTTACATTTCATTATATCCTGTAGAAATGCAGCCGCTTTTCCATTCTTGTTTTTAATTATATTTTTTAAATCCTTGTAGGAGAGAGGGGGAAATATGATCTGAAATATATTGAATGTTTCCTAGATTTCAAAATGCTATGTGAGTATGTTGTTATTTGGTTAGTGTCTTATCAGTTTCAAATAGAAAATGTTGCAACATGTGTGTGGGGAATCAAACCCAGTATGGTTAGCATTACTGGTGTGGTTAACGACTCTGTTTGTCTAAGCTGATGGTATTTCAGCCCTCGTGAGGTGGAAGCACAGCCTGAGCAGCCCCTCAACACAGGCAGGGGCAGGAGACGAGGGTTCTTCTCCAGCGCCGATTCCAAGATTGATGAAACACCAACCCCCAAAGCAACTCTTCCACCACTTAAGTGTCAACAGACAATGGGTAATGCCTGTATATTGTATTTCTTCTAATAAGTGCCCTGGTGCTATTCTTTGAATATGGTTCCCATTAGGGGCAGAGTGTTGATGGACACCTGGTGCTTAGTTATTCATCAGACGCTACTACAACTGATATGTTGACATACAACACAATTTCATTTTTGTAATTCAGTATACGTTTCACTGAAGAGAATATCTTCATCAATAATTTTAATACAGACATGAGTGGTATATGATAGAAAGTTGATTAATTTCATTTGGCTCTGCATCATATCTTAGGGATAAAAAAAAATGTATGTATAGATGTGTATGTGTGTACACACACAAACAAACCTAAAACATATGTAAGTATTTGAGAGTGCATGTACCGGTACACAACTCACATACTGAAAATAAAAAAACACTTTTCATATTTGCAGATCCTTACATCACAACTTCACAGTTGAAGAAAAAACAGCATTTCATTTCTAAGCAGTTATCTCTAAAGTTGAAACTTGAAGATTGTTTCAAGAGTTGTAGAGAATAACCTGGCCCTCTATCTGTTTTGTCTGTTTATTTACCTTACTGGTGAATCATCTATTTTATATCAGACAATCCAACTATGCTGGATCCGACCGGCAAGTTTGTGGACTGGGCAGCATGCAAGAAACACTTCCCCCACATGACCAGAGAATTTGTGAGTACATCACCTTTACAGCAAGACTGGTCATTTGTGTGGACCAGAGATCTCTAGACTGGTCATTTGTGTGGACCAGAGATCTCTAGACTGGTCATTTGTGTGGACTAGAGATCTCTAGACTGGTCATTTGAGTGGACCAGAGATCTCTAGACTGGTCATTTGTGGGGACCAGAGATCTCTAGACTGGTCATTTGTGTGGACTAGAGATCTCTAGACTGGTCATTTGTGTGGACCAGAGATCTCTAGACTGGTCATTTGTGTGGACCAGAGATCTCTAGACTGGTCATTTGAGTGGACTAGAGATCTCTAGACTTGTCATTTGAGTGGACCAGATATCTTTAGACTGGTCATTTGAGTGGACTAGAGATCTTTAAACTGGTCATTTGAGCAGACCAGATATCTCTAGACTGGTCATTTGAGTGGACCAGATATCTCTAGACTGGTCATTTGAGTGGACCAGAGATCTCTAGACTGGTCATTTGAGTGGACCAGAGATCTCTAGACTGGTCATTTGAGTGGACCAGAGATCTCTAGACTGGTCATTTAAAAGGACCATTTGAGTAGGACCAGAGATCTTTAGACTGGTCATTTGAGTGGACCAGAGATCTCTAGACTGGTCATTTGAGTGGACCAGAGATCTCTAGACTTGTCATTTGAGTGGACCAGATATCTTTAGACTGGTCATTTGAGTGGACCAGAGATCTCTAGACTGGTCATTTGAGTGGACCAGAGATCTTTAAACTGGTCATTTGAGCGGACCAGAGATCTTTAAACTGGTCATCAGTGAGTTCAGTAAAGATGACCTTCCCGAAATTGTATGTCTATTGTTGGCGTAACACCAAACTAGGGGTGAAACGGTATACCGCGGTATTAGCAGAACTGCGGTATTTTGCCTTCGGTTCCATATACCGTAATGCAATCCAAAAATTCGGTTTTCGGACCGTCATTTTATGAATCATTTTAAACATTTTCTAAAATGTCTAGAAATCAAATCATTTGGTCAAAATCTATGCATTTCTTTGCTTGACGGCCGCTATTTTCCTGGAAGTAAGTTTGAGATCGCCTTGAGTCATCTACTTACAAAGTCAGCAAGACAGCAACTGCAGATAGCAGATCAGTAGCTTGATTCTGTTTCTATTTCAGTTATTTCAAATCAGACGAACAGCGAAACATCGTCATAACTTATTAAAGTCAACTTTATTATAAATACACGCCATCAGCCGAGTACTGACGATGTTTGCTGTGATGCAACACACCGCGTTATAGCATGGGTAAACACTGCCATCCGAAAACATATGATGTCAGAAAACTCATAATAAAACAATCTTCCTCGATTTCATTTTATTTGATTAAATTTAATCACATGGACTAAAATACTTGAGTTAACCAAGAACAGTGATATTTTAATTGAGCAGATCTAATCCAGGATTTAAATGAGTACTGTTTGTCAAAGAACTCACAGTTAAAATGCGATTTTAGCTGATTGAATCAAAGAATAATTAGTGTTCACAACAAGATTGTTTTAAAAGGGAGGGATGGAACACCAAGTTCTTTAACTGGGTTGGTCACCATCACCCATCTGTGTGGCGAACCATCGAATGGTTCCAGAAGGAGCAAACAACAGTGAGGACTATTTGCTCAGGACATCATCGGCAATATGCCTGTGAATAAACCAAAGACTGTTGTCATCAAGATGCAGAAACGTCTGCAGAGAATGTGCACTGACATTGTTTCTGGGAGGAAATCAAACCCAGAGTTTCTCCGTGGTGTGGCCACCATTATTAGACTGAATAAAATTCAGTAGATATCAGCAAATGTATCATTGCAGATGCAAATTTACATTGTTGTATCTTCTTAACATTTGGTATAAAAAATTAAAAGTAGGTCTTTTTACTGGAGGACTTTTTTCTAGGCAAATTTAGTACTTTTTAACTGGTACTTTTTTTCCAAGTTTTTTTTTTCCTAACTCCCATCCATAGACCCCAAGACCAGCGTTATGGTGAGGGATAACTGCAATTATGGGTATGGATCTGGTGGCTTTCCCATCACAGTTCTTAAGCCTTATGTTTGTTTGTTGTTGCTACCATCTCATTGCAAGCTATATCAGAGCAATGAACATTTAACTACCAATAAATAGAGAAAAAACATATTTGTTTCAGAAAGGAGAAATACATTTCTGAGTGAACTTAAAAAGATATTTTGAATGAATCTGAAAACTGAATAAAAACAATTCTGGAATGTGCCAAGATTGTGTGGCAGTACTTCCCAAGGACTGTGGAAACTTGAAAGTCTCTAAATGTTTAACCGACTGAAATGAGAGATAGGCAATGATTTAGACCAAGGACAATGATCTGCCACACAGACTGTAACTGTCTTATGACAACTGTATTAAGTTAATTTGTTTGATTTTTTTATCTGTGATATGTCATCAACAGAGTCACATACGATAAGGTCTGATTTGTGTATTCTTTTTAGTTTTTTCAAACATGAACTTTCTGGGCTGTGGTGATTTCACTGAAGTAAATGCTGATGTGATTTTACTGACTTTTAATCATACTTGGCTACTTGCTATTTTGCCACTGCTGTGAGCTCCAAGGTTCCAGTGACACTTTAGTTCTTCTATCTTGTCATGAAATGACAGTTTTGTTCATTCAAAATAACAAAGATTATGGTTATTTTTTTCCATGTTATTAAACAATGTAAGGTTTGGCTCTTGTCAGTTTCCTGCATTATGATCATATCTCATATACCGAACCGAAACGGACCAAACCGAAGGCCTTGTACCGCAATACGTACCACGCCGTGGTAAGAGCGTACCGTTTCACCCCTACACCAAACCTGATCACAGACCCTGAAGTGACAATCTGTGTTTTTCACATTGATGCTTAGATGACCAGTGAGTTGATATGTGTTGACTGATACATGTCACTGTATGCCAATTGTGTAGATCAGTACTCATCATACAACATATGCTATATTTGGGATCACACTTTGTCAGTAAGATACAGATTCTAATATTTTTGGGGGGTTGAGTCTCATCTGGGATTCAAACCCACACTCTTAGAGTCAGCACTCTAACCCACCCAGCCACCACATAATGGAACTCTGCTAACTCACAGTCTAGATCTCTGACATGTGTAAATTAATTAGGCATTAGGTGACTCACACTGGATGTGGGTTCAAATCCCTGATTGTACTCAAGCCAAAACTGTACTTGAATCTGTACCTCACTGAGAATTTGTAATCCTAAATATAACATATGTTACATTTGGCAATATACTTTTAGGCAATTTGTATTCCTAAATATTAACACATGTTGATTACACATTTATCTGTACCTCACTGAGAATTTGTAATCCTAAATATAACATATGTTACATTTGGCAATATACTTTAGGCAATATGTATTCATAAATCATGTATTCAATGCTCAACATGTTGATTACACATTTATACAGCTGTAATGTTGTAGCGGTACTGTTTTGTTCCAGCTTGACGAGCAATGGGAGAGGTTCCAGGAGTATGATGACAATGGTGACAGGTCACTTGACTTTTCTGAGGTAAGACGAAAAGCATAATAAGGCCAGACCAATTTTATTTCTTATTTTACAGATTTTTGTCCTCAGAAATCCTGAAAGCAGGAGGAAAAAGAAATAAAAATAAAAATCACCAGTCAAAGTAATATTCCTTTCAAATACCAAAAGTATTTTACTTTTGACAATTATTTATGAAATGTATATGGGGGAAAAAACAATCACATGTTTTGTTCCAGCTTGACGAAAAAAAAAATTTCTTGCACATTTACACTTTTGGCCAGTAGAAATATCAAAATTTTATTTTTTGTGCAGGGAAAATTAATTTTTATTTTTTTTCTTAATCTTGAAAAAATATGACCGGCGGATCTGTAAAACAAGAAATAAAATTGGTCTGGCCTAACTAATAAAAAATAACAAACTATAAAGAACCAGTAATTTTAGTTTGGTACAGCCATAGTTGGTTACACCCATTTTGGGGTGGTGGGGTAGCCTAGTGGTTAAAGTGTTGGCTCATCACACCGAAGACCCGGCTTTGATTCCCCACATGGGTACAATGTGTGAAGCCCATTTCTGGTGTCTCCCTTGCTGTAATATTGCTAAAAGCGGCATAAAAACATACTCACTCTAACTCACTTATACCAGTTCAAAATGGAGGCGTTCGGGTTAGAATTGATCTTCAGTAATCCATGCTTTTCTCCTACCTGTGAAGATCCAGATTAGACTAACCTAAATTAAATCATCACACAAATACTAGTATTGTTTTTCATCATGATAATTCAAAACGTATTCTCAGTGCTATAGCAAATGAAAAGGATTGTAAGTGGAGCATAAAACAAGAAAAAAGAGTAAAACAATACTCACTCACCTGGATGAATACAATATGGTGTGTTTTTTCAGGTTGTAGGAGCCCTGAAAGCCCTTGGGATGCAGTTTACTGCTAGTCAGGCCCAGGTGAGATTCACTGATCCAGTAGTCCCTGTGGGAGTTCCAGGTGAGAATAGCTCCCTAACAACTTCTGCTGGTCATAGGAGAGCACCAAATGGATCGTGTGATCCATGAGTGACTTGATTTATATCATTCTACTTTAACTGAGTGAATTGTTGCTGACAATCTGAGTCACTGGAATGTTGGGTCTAAGTTTTGTTGATTCAAATTCTGGTTCAACCCGATGATATCCCTATCTCAGCTCAACATTCAGGCTCAGGGTTTCACCAAAGTGATAAATGTCCGAGCCCTGCTTTACCCTGATCTTTCCTCCCACAGCAAGCTCACCTACTGTGATATAACTGGAATGCTGTCTCAGAGGGTGTTCAAACCAGCTTACTACTGCACCAGATATCGCAATAATCATGATAAACAGTTTAAAATACACGTCTTCACTCGTTACCATGGTTACATGACTGTTTCAGGAGGCCATGTGGGAAGTTGACGTCAACAAGTCAGAGACTCTTGACTTCTATGAGTATCTTCTTGTGGCTGACAAGATTGCCAGACAGTCAGGTAGGTGGACGGAGGTTGGCCTGTCTTCTCAAACTCAGTTGGCTGTATATTCAGGGTCAGTTAGGGTTAATCTCATTTGAATTAAATCTTTTACTCTGATATATCTCTGCATGAAAAATTGAGAAACCATCCCTAAACCCTGAATAACCATTGTCTGTCTAAATGAAGACCTGAAATGTCATCTGTATACCCTGAGTAAGTGAGTTTGTGAGTGAGTGAGTTAGTTAGTTAAGTTTTGTTAGAATTGGTCTTCAGTAACCCATGCTTGTTGTAAGAGGCGACTAATGTGATCGGGTAGTCAGACTCGCTCACTTGGTTGACACATGTAATTGTATCCCAATTGCGTAGATCGATGCTCATGCTGTTGATCACTGGATTATCTGGTACAGTCTAAGTAAACTTAGGCTCAGTATTATTCGTTACACTGCTATACTGAGTCTAACAAAACCTAGTAGAAGGTCGTGTCAGCTAAACTTTGACCGTCCAATGAAACGCGAGACGTCTGAATGGATTTAACCAATCAGACAACGACTACTTGTTAGGTTTCGACGGGTTTTTGGATTTTCTCTTCCCTGGTCGTTGACACTGATCTATCAACAAACGAAAATCCACATAAAACACAGATATCTGACCTGCAGTATATACACTTATGGGTTTCTAATGACATGGTTACTATTTGCTTATATTTTCTCACAATGACATCCTTGAATATTGACAAAAATGCTATTTTCAGCCACTGTTTACTCATTGCGTGTATCAGTCGGAAGCGATTGTGCGGAAAACAGCATTCAGAATCATTCGAGTTTTTTAGGTAAAGGTTCAAACGCTATGTGTGAATGTTAACTTCTGCTTACTTTTGGTAAGCTGTGTTCTGATTGGTCAGTCGAAAAGGTTAGCTGACGCGACATTCTACTAGGTTTTGTTAGACTCAGTATAGCAGTGTAACGAATAATACTGAGCCTAAGTTTACTTAGACTGTATCTGGTCCAGACTTGATTATTTACAGATGGCCGCCATATAGCTGGAACACTGCTGAGTCCGGCGTTAGACAACAATCAGTCAATCAATCTCTTTTGAGACAGAGAAATCACGTACATGTTATATGTTGTTCTTACCTTTACTCCTATGAGAGTAGTGACTTAGTTGGCATTGTTTCTTATATACCTTCATTACAGTGCAACAAAAACGTCCCAAATCAGAATTTTGGAATTATGCTAATCAGTATCTGCTTCAGTAACTGAGTGGATTTTACTGTTTCTTCACTGTATCAGGAAAATGTTGACTAACAAGCAATGTTGTTGGGATGTTCCTATGCACAGCTGAACACAAATCAGCCTTCTGTTGCATTTCTGGACACTGTGAATGATTTGTAGTTCTTATTTAAAGAATACCTTTTTCACAATGATGATATTTTCTGAAAAATGAAGAATATTTTTTGGAATGGGAAAATATATTCTTGCTATATATTGTTGAGAAATAGGTGTGGCTATTTTGAACTCTCACTCACTCACTCACCCTGGAGATGGGGCAGTGGGGTAGCCTAGTGGTTAAAGCGTTTGCTCGTCACGCTGAAGGTCAGGGTTCGATTCCCCACATGGGTACAACATGTGAAGCCCATTTCTGGTGTCCCCCGCTGTGATATTGCAGGAATATTGCTAAAAGCGGCGTAAAACTAAACTCACTCACTCACCCTGGAGATATACATGATTCTTTTCTTTCTGATCTTTAGACCAGTATACAAAATATTATTGACGTTTTACAGTTTCTGTAAAATGCGACACAAGTCAGCATAGTTTGTTTTATTTATTAACTTATTCATTTTTTATTTTCTGTAGGTAAATCATCGCTTTTCAAGTCAACAGTAGTGAAAACACACAGCAACGTTGTGGCCAAAACTTGTGTCCTACAATAATCAGAATATCATATCCTGTATACAACATTTGATTGATATACTGAATGTTTGCAAGGGACAATGAGAGGCATTAGAAATACTCTGTGTTAACCAAAAAACAGTGTAATATTAGAGATGTGATATGCTGAAATATAGCACGAGACAATGTTACCTTACACAAGTGATATGATGTGCTCAATGCTAGCACAAGATATTGTAACATGAGTGACATGATATGTTGAATGTTAGCATAAGACAATGTAATACAAGTGATATGATATGCTGAATGTTAGCATAAGACAATGTAATACAAGTGATATGATATGCTGAATGTTAGCATAAGACAATGTAATACAAGTGATATGATATGCTGAATGTTAGCATAAGACAGTGTAATACAAGTGATATGACATGCTGAATGTTAGCATAAGACAGTGTAATACAAGATATGACATGCTGAATGTTAGCATAAGACAGTGTGTAATACATAGTGATATGCTGAATGTTAGCATAAGACAATGTAATACAAGTGATATGATATGCTGAATGTTAGCATAAGACAATGTAATACAAGTGATATGATATGCTGAATGTTAGCATAAGCATAAGACAATGTAATACAAGTGATATGACATGCTGAATGTTAGCATAAGACAGTGTAATACAAGTGATATGACATGCTGAATGTTAGCATAAGACAGTGTAATACAAGTGATATGACATGCTGAATGTTAGCATAAGACAATGTAATACAAGTGATATGATATGCTGAATGTTAGCATAAGACAATGTAATACAAGTGATATGACATGCTGAATGTTAGCATAAGACAATGTAATACAAGTGATATGATATGCTGAATGTTAGCATAAGACAATGTAATACAAGTGATATGATATGCTGAATGTTAGCATAAGACAATGTAATACAAGTGATATGATATGCTGAATGTTAGCATAAGACAATGTAATACAAGTGATATGATATGCTGAATGTTAGCATAAGACAGTGTAATACAAGTGATATGACATGCTGAATGTTAGTATAAGACAGTGTAATACAAGTGATATGATATGCTGAATGTTAGCATAAGACAATGTAATACAAGTGATATGATATGCTGAATGTTAGCATAAGACAATGTAATACAATGTAATACAAGTGATATGACATGCTGAATGTTAGCATAAGACAATGTAATACAAGTGATATGACATGCTGAATGTTAGCATAAGACAATGTAATACAAGTGATATGAGATGCTGAATGTTAGCACAAGACAATGTAATACAAGTGGTATACAGTGAATGTTTGTACAAGACAATGTAATAAATGTGATATGATATGCTGACTGTTAGCATAAGACAATGTAATACAATGCTGAATAGCATAAGACAATGTGATATGATATGCTGAATGTTAGCATAAGACAATGTAATACAAGTGGATATGACATGCTGAATGTTAGCATAAGACAATGTAATAAGTGATAGTGATATGCTGAATGTTAGTATAAGACATGTGTAATACAAGTGGTATGACATGCTGAATGTTAGCATAAGACAATGTAATACAAGTGATATGATATGCTGAATGTTAGTATAAGACAATGTAATACAAGTGATATGATATGCTGAATGTTAGTATAAGACAATGTAATACAAGTGATATGATATGCTGAATGTTAGCATAAGACAATGTAATACAAGTGATATGATATGCTGAATGTTAGCATAAGACAATGTAATACAAGTGATATGATATGCTGAATGTTAGCATAAGACAATGTAATACAAGTGATATGACATGCTGAATGTTAGTATAAGACAATGTAATACAAGTGATATGACATGCTGAATGTTAGCATAAGACAATGTAATACAAGTGATATGATATGCTGAATGTTAGCATAAGACAATGTAATACAAGTGATATGATATGCTGCATAAGACAATGTAATAGTGATATGATATGCTGAATGTTAGCATAAGACAATGTAATACAAGTGATATGATATGCTGAATGTTAGCATAAGACAATGTAATACATGTGATATGATATGCTGAATGTTAGCATAAGACAATGTAATACAAGTGATATGATATGCTGAATGTTAGCATAAGACAATGTAATACAAGTGATATGATATGCTGAATGTTAGCATAAGACAATGTAATACAAGTGATATGATATGCTGAATGTTAGTATAAGACAATGTAATACAAGTGATATGACATGCTGAATGTTAGTATAAGACAATGTAATACAAGTGATATGATATGCTGAATGTTAGTATAAGACAATGTAATACATGTGATATGATATGCTGAATGTTAGCATAAGACAATGTAATACAAGTGGTATGACATGCTGAATGTTAGCATAAGACAATGTAATACAAGTGATATGATATGCTGAATGTTAGCATAAGACAATGTAATACAAGTGATATGATATGCTGAATGTTAGCATAAGACAATGTAATACAAGTGATATGATATGCTGAATGTTAGCATAAGACAATGTAATACATGTGATATGATATGCTGAATTTTAGCATAAGACAATGTAATACATGTGATATGATATGCTGAATTTTAGCATAAGAGAATGTAATACATGTGATATGACATGCTGAATGTTTGCACAAGACAATGTAATACAAGTGGTATACAATGAATGTTTGTACAAGACAATGTAATACAAGTCCCAAATGTACAAGTCTATGTGATATAAGGCAAATGTATTTCATGGAAACTTTATATCAATAAATCAAAAGTGAAACCTAGTAAGTTGAGTTATTAAACATCACTTGATTGTCTGGTTCCTTTATAGGCCACAGTTGCATGGCAGTATGGCTGTGGAGTGTCAGGCAACAAACATTATATTTTGGGGGCAAATTGTTGGAGTGACAGGTGCTACTGCATTAGGTTTCAGCAGATAACTGAGAAGGGTTGTACTCTGGCCTTTATGTCTTGCATGTGCTGGACAGACAGCTGATTTGAGTTTGCTAGTTCCATGTAAAAGATCTAGCATCATTTCCAGAGGATATGGATTCAATATATTCCCTGTTGTGCATATTAATCAGACTGTTTTTTAAAAAAAGCACTTCCTGAAAAAACATTCTTTTTCACATGTCAGTGTATATTTAGTGTTGTTGAAATAAACAACATGTCTCAAATGAACAATATCCGTTTCTAATTCACACAAATCTCATCTCACCACAATTTATAAAACCTTGGTCAATTATTTAGTGACCCACATACTGTGGACCTTTGTTAGTAGTTCACCATATCAACAAATGTTCTTGCCACAATGAGGGGCGGTGGGGTAGCCTAGTGGTTAAAGCGTTGGCTCGTCACGCCGAAGACCCGGGTTCGAATCCCCACATGGGTACAATGTGTGAAGCCCATTTCTGGTGTCCCCTGCCGTGATGTTGCTGGAATATTGCCAAAAGCGGCGTAAAACCAAACTCAGTCAGTCAGTCAGTCTTGCCACAATGCAGCAGGTAATACAACAGAATAGTTTCCTAACCAAAAATGTTTTAAATAACAACAAAGATGTTATTTTATGTTTGAATTTTGCTGCAAGAAGTTTTAGATCACCATGAATAATGACCTATACTCCCCATCAAAAGTTTAGACTCACTAGTGTAAATGTAGCCTGTTACTTAAGTCAACTCAGCTAGATTTTGCAAAATTTTCCATACTGTTTAAAGGTACTGTTTACACATGAACTGATGTATTGTAAAACAAATTCGTATCGTTGAAAAGATTATTGTTATGGGTTAAAAAAATGATGAAACCGAGTGAAAATTGGTGAATTTTTAACAAAATTTTACACCACAACACAGCTGTTCACATGCACGATATTTGCACATGCTTTTTAGCAATTTAATGCATGATCCTCGTGCAATTCATCTGCATAAAGTTTGCAGTTGGTTCCCCAAAGTTAGTGGAGAAATTCATCTTCGATGTAACCATACATATATGCATAACAAATAGTGAGTGCTTTAAGTGAGTCTAAACTTTTTGTGGGTAGTATGTTAGAGATTTTATGATCACTTCCAAGAATGGGGGGGTGGTGGGGTAGCCTAGTGGTTAAGGCGTTTGCTCGTCACGCCGAAGACCCGAAGACCCAGGTGCAATTCCCCAAATGGGCACAATATGTGAAGCCCATTTCTGGTTTTCCCTGTCATGATATTGCTGGAATATTGAGCAGCATAAAACTAAACTCACTCACTCCACATATAGATGTTTCAAACCTGGTGACATCAGTTAGTTTAGTAAAATGACTTCAGGTTTTATGCTGATTTGAGCATTTCCTTGAGCATTGGTGGCTGTCAGCCTAGTGTAGGAGAGAAGTCCAAGGTGATCAAGCCATTAGAAGTTCACCACAGCACTGCATTGTATGGACAAATCAAGGAACATAACTGGGGTGAGTTTGGGATTCGAACCCATGGTCAGTGGATCCTGGTATATCTCGCGCAACACAACTCAGGGGTATCAGTGCACTATATATTGTCGTTTATCACACATGGAATATTTTAAAAAGAAACAACATATTCTTTGAATGTCCACTCGCCAATCTTTTTTCAAATTTTGAAAATATCTGAACAATCACATTTCTTTGCCTGGTGTTTTTGCATCGATGAATCAGCCTGAACACAATAATGGATGTGTACAAACAAACAGGACAAACATTTGGGTAACTATATCACATCACAACCGTTTTGTTCTGATTAAAATGTGAAGTGCATGTACCATTATACACACAAGTACTTGTCCAGGGACTGTTGAGGTTCGAAGAATTCATGTCGTCACATTGTGATAGCAGAGTTGGGGATGTTCTAAATGTATTATTGCAAGGAAGTATTGCGGTTAACAGATCCTGACAAGGTGAAGGGAGGCAACTCCTCAGAGAAAGCTGAGTTGTCTTTGACCACAGGACCACCTGTTCCACCGTGGAACTAGTATGAGCACACAGGGACAGGAAGTGTGTGATGTTTAACATCTACTGGTTAAACTGTCTCCTGTCACGCTGAAGATCCCAGTTCGATTCCCCACATGGGTACAATCAGTGTATGAAATAAGGCCTGTCCGACCACTCAGACGGGCTAGATTTCTGACGGACGGTCTACACATTTACAGCGAGCCAGACGGATGGTCTGGTAAATTTTTTTAGAAAACATACATCTGATTAATTTTCTTTGGATTGTCTGGTCAGGTTAAATCCATTTTGGGGTGGTAACGTTTTAAAGTTACCAGCCCTGATGTCTGGCTGGGTTTTGGGCTTATTTCATACACTGGTAAAATGTGTGAAGACTATTTCTGGTGTCCTCGTGATAATGCTGGAATATTGCTAAAGCTGCATAAGGCTAAACTCACTCACTACCCTGGATAGAGAAATAGACGTGTAAGTGTGAATTTATATATTGATT